GGAAAAATAAAACTGTCTTTATTCCAGCTAAGATGAAGCAGGAGCAATGAACAAAATCCAGAATGTGGAAAACAAACAATTCAGTTTCTTCAACAACTAAATTGCAAGGGGAAAAAAACCCAACATATTACAAAAAACTTAAAGTACATGCAAGCATATGCAATGTGCAAACTTTAGACATGGGCTCTATTCAAAATAATTCATGAGACAAACAGAAAAATCTAAACCCTGAGGGGATTTGTGTTGCATGTAAGGAATTACTGCTTTGTGTCTAAGTGCGATGGTGATACTGTGTCTATGCCCTTGGGAGACACATACCAGATATTTACAAATAAAGGACGTGTTGGAGAGTAGCAGTAATGGTAGCGTCATCAAGATCAGCCCCAAGCTGATCCCTGTGAGGTGGAGGTCAGACACACCTCCACTCTCCAGCCTTTTACGAGTTCTGACGCCGCCCTGCTGCTGGGCTGTTAGTTTGTGCAGCTGCTTCCTTTATTTTTCTTTGTTTTCAGTTTCAGCAGCTTATGCTGTCTCTTTTATGTTAGTTCTGAACATGTGAAAGCATTTATTCGGTTCACATATCAAATCCCTACAGCAAAAACGTCTTTGTCCGCTTCCCTGTCCTTCATGCTTCCTTAAGTCACCGGTGGCAGGGAGAAACCGGAAGTAGAAAATAAAATTGGCCTTTGGTTGAGAATTGGGGAAGCCAGGTGAACGTACTTGGGGCTTTATCAAACCCTTCTCTCCACGTTTGTATAAGCTTGAAATTGTCCACAACACAAAAATTTAAAGAGCCAAAGAAAACCAAAAGCAAGCACTAAAACTGAGCACAAGGAGAAACCAATGGCCCAGACCACATGTCAGATGGGTAACAAGTAGAGAAAAGGATCCTGTGGTCAGGTGTGACCTCAGTGTGTTGACAGTCAGCTTGGTGGGGCAAATTCCAGAGAATAATGGGGAAAACCTCAAGCCTCACCCAGTCATTTCCCTGATGATAGTGATACTGCCATTATCATCTTGAAGCTATTTTATATGAATAACGGGACAAAATCAGTACGTATATTTGTTATTAAGGAACCCAGCTTTTCAGTGTTAGAGGAAAAAAAAAAAAAAGACAAATAGAAAATAAAACAAAAATCCTGTAATGTGAAATTTCAACTAGAAATTTAAAGCCATGTGTATTTCATACATTCTTCCAGTTTACATGTGTCATGGATTGAACTGTGTCCCCCAAAAATATCTGTCAGCTTGGCTAGGTCAGGATTCCCAGTATTGTATAATTGTCTACCATCTTGTAATCTGATGTGATTTCCCCAAGTGTTGTAAACCCTATCATTACGATGTAATAAGATGAATTAGCAGCAGTTACACTGATGAGATCTACAAGATTAAATTATGTCTTAAAGCAATCTCTTTGGAGATATAAAAGAGAGACGTGAGCAGAGACACATGGGAACCTCACACCACCAAGAAAGCAGTGCCGGGAGCAGAGCGCATCCTTCGGACCCGAGGTTCCTGTGCTGAGATGCTCCCAGACCAAGGGAACACTGATGCACCACAAGGCCCTTCCCCCAGAGCTGACACAGAAAGCTTCCCCTGGAGCTGATGCCTGAATTTGGACTTGTAGCCTACTGGACTGTGAGAGAATAAACTTCTCTGTCTTAAAGCCATCCACTTGCCGTATTTCTGTTACAGCAGCACTAGATGACTAAGACAGCATGCATACGTGTGTGTATGTGTGTATGCGTGTGTGTGTGTATGTGTGTATGCGTGTGTGTATGTGTGCTGCATGTGTGTGTGAGTGTGGGTGTGCTTTTTATTTTGAAATACTTATAGACTCACAAGTGGCAAAACAAATGCGGAAAGGTCCCATGTCCCCTTCCCCCAGCTTCCCCCCATGGTAACATCTTGCATGATGTCAGCACGGGGCCGACTGACACTGGCACAGTCTGATGAACAGGCCGCACCTGGATTTCACCAGTTTTTATACGTGCTCAGCAGGAAGAAAAGCACTACGCTGTATACAGTGACACGCACGGATCTCAAGGACACGCGCTGAGTGCTCCCACACACCCACACAGGTGAACCCTGGAGACACGCGGAGCAGAACAAGCCAGTGGCAAAAGGACAAACACGGTATGAATCCACGTTTGTGAGATAAATTAACATACAGAACCCAAAGATTATCAGTGGTTACTAGGGGTGGGGGGAGGGGAGAGTATTCGTTAATGGTGGTAGAATGATCTGGAAAAACCAAGGATGGTTGTACAACCTGAAAAATGTCACTAATGTCACTAAGTCATACACATAGAAATTGTTGAAATGGCGTATTTTGTTATGTTTATTTTCACCACAATTAAAAACAAAAAGTGTGCTGAGAGAGGGAAGCAAACCCAGGAATGTGTGCTGTACAGCTCCATTCACCTGAAGTCCACACACAACAAAACTCCTCAGCAGTGACAGAAATCAGAAAGTGATGGGGGGGGTGGTCATCAGGGGCACAGGGAACTTTCTGGGTGATGGGACTGTTCTCGATCTCGTTTTGGGTGATGATTACACAGATGTGCTCAACTATCAAACCTCATCATCATCAAAGTGAACCCAAGTGAACCCCTCAGACCTATTATTTTATTGTACTTCAATTACACCTCAATCAAAAGCTCTGTTTACATCTGAGCCTAGAATGATATCCAAAAAGCAAAGAGAGGGAGGCGGTGAACAGGGCCCTCTTCTTAACAGGGACCTCCTGCTAATAAATGCAGAAAGAAGGAGAGAAAGAGAAATCCAGCGCTTTCTACCCCCATTGCAGTAACACCGAGTCCTGAGCCACTTGCTCGGGGCCAGGGCTTTGCCTCCCAGACACCATGCTAACTGCAGAGAAAAAAACCACTTTCAAAGTGGCTAGAACCCCGTCAGCGTCAACCACGTGACCAACCGTAGCTTGTTGGGCCACTTGGCATTCAGTGTCTTCTGATGTGATATGAAAAAGGTCCCAAGGTGGCACAGACAGTTTGCACTGGACTACTAACCTAAAGGTTGGCAGATCGAACCCACCCTGCAGTTCCACAGAAGAAAGGCCTGATGACCTGCTCCACTGAAGATTATAGCCAAGAGAACCCTGAGGAGTACAGCTGTGCTCTGTAACACTAGCTCACCCTGAGACAGAACTGACTTGATGGCGAGGGATTTGGTTTTGATTTGGAGGCGATGTGATCTGCAGCTCACAGCCTCACCTTTACGACATATTCTCACCCAAACTGTTACACCTGGCACTAAGCATGCTTCCAGGCCTACTTTCCCATTTACGGGAAATAGTGGGGAAAGTGGAACAAGCCAAATGACATCGTGAACAAACAAACAAATCCAGAATGCCAGACATTCTGTGAGACAATAGGCCTGGACATCTCAAAAGTCAATGTCATGAAGTTGGGGGAAAAAAGAAAAAGAGGGGGGAGGGGGCTTTCCAGATTAAAAAGATGAAAGAGACAGAATCAGCCAAACCCATGTGTGATCCTTGAGCCTGGTTTGAGGATGGGTGGGGAGAGCAGTAAAAGGCATTCTAGACACAACTCAATTAGACATGGATTAATTACACTACAAAATTAGTATTAACTTTGTGGGGATAGGAGATGCATACTGGGGTAAAGTGTCACCACAGCTGCAACTTGCTTTCAAATGGTTCAGCAAAATAAAAACGTAAACAGAAAAATAAAGCAACCGTAGCAGAGTACTGCTGTACTGAAGTGCAGAATAGGCCGGCGTTGAGCCTCCCGGGGTTTCAGGTTTTCTGGGTAATAGTTCTCACGATACCAATCTGAATAGAATCATTTGAAGTCCACATGTTGTTGCTGTTAGTTGCCACGGAGTTGATTCTGACTCATGACAATCCTGTGTGTGCAGAGTAGAACTGCTCCACAGGGTTTCCAAGGCTGTGACCTTTCAGAAGCAGATCTCCAGGCCCGTCTTCCAAGGTGCCTCTGGATAGGTTCCAACTGCCAACCTGTTGGCTAGTAGTCCAACGTTTAACCATCTGCACCCCCCAGGGACTTGTAACGCCTGTATAAGGGCCTATCGACAAGACCCTTCATTACCTGGCCCCTTCATCTCTGACCTCACCTCCTGCTGCCCCCTGCAAGTCCCCTCCGCCCTGGTATCCTTCCTCAAGACCTCTGGATACGCCCTTCCCTGCACCCCCTCCCTCCACATACCCACATCCCTTGCTCCCTCTCCTCCCTCAGTTCTTTGCTCAAATGTCACCTTCTCACTGAGACTTTCACTGGCCACCCTTAAAACGGTAAGCCCCAAAACAACACTCTCACACACTCCCTTTCCCCTTTCTCTGCTTTACGCACCTACACGGCAGTTATGACCACGGGCAGTCTACTATTTTACCCACCTCATTATTTATAATTCGCCCCCCTCCCCCCATTAGACTGTGAGTTCCAGAGAACAAGCACTTTATGTTCCATTCACTTCTGCCTCCCCAGCACAGTGGAATTCAATAAGTAATTCCTACATTCAGTACTCATTCAACATTTAAAACGCACATAATCTGTGACCCAGCAATCCACTTCTGGGATTCGGCTTTAGGGAACCACTCACACACGTGTACAAACAACGTTCTCTGAAGCCCTGTTTCTAGAGACCCAGAAACGTAAACAACCAGTGCTTGACAACAGGAGTACGCAGACCATCCCGGGAATACTAGCAGAAGCTGGACAAAATGAAGACCTACACCCACTACGCTGAGGAGTTCCAAGGCACACTCAGTCGTATAGCATTACTGTTTTGAGAAAAAAGACAAAGACCACAAAAACCCCTACCCATTTTCCACTTGCACCCCTCTGCACGGGAAAACACAAAATTACATCTGCGAAGACAAACACCAAGAGAAAGAAAGGACTAAGTCCAGGGTAATTATTTTAACTTGGTACGACACGTTCTGGAGTGCTACCGCATAATTAAAAACTACCCCCGCCCGGCCAGGATTCTGCACTCACCAGATACAGGCGAGGGGTCCCTCTTGGGCTGGAGGCGACCGGTCTGGGGCAGGAACGGGTTGTTCAGCCTACAAGAAGCGAGAGGGTCAGTCGTGAGCGGGGCGCTGGGCCGCCCCTCCTCCCTGTGCCGCGCCGCCCGCAAGTCCACTCACCCGAACGTGTTGGGCTCCTCCACCACCTTCATCTTGGCGGCCCCTGCGGGCCCCGGCCCTAGGAGGAAAGAGGCGGTGAGGGGTGGGCGGGGAAGCCCAGGTGTGGGCAGCGCGGAAACGGAGAAGCGCAGGGGACGGGGCGGGTAGGGGAGCGTGAGGGGACACGGAAGGCCTGGGCAGCGGGGAGCGCGGGCGGCCGGCCACTAACCGCGCGCCGCGAACCCGAGGAGCAGCAGGAAGCACGCCAACACAGCCGCCATCTCCCCAGGGCCGGCCCGGGTCACGTGAGCGCGGGCCTCGAGGTCACGTGAACGCCGGAAGCGGAAGTGGAGTTCGGCGCGTGCGCGGACGTCCGCACAACCGGACTGGGAGCGCCGGAGCGTCTCGGAGACCCCCGGCTCCCTGCCATGGGCCGCCGGAGGGCGGGGCGTGGGCCCGGGGCCGGAGGCGGCCGTGCACGGCGCCCCGTGGGCCGCTCCCTGGAAGCCTTCACGGAAGAGGTCGGCGCGGCGCTGCGCGGTGAGTGCAGGGTGATGGGGAGAGCTCTGGGTTGGGGTCGGAGGTCGAGGGGCAGCTGGGGGTACCCGCGCCTGATGCCTGGTCCCCTTCTCTCTCCCGGTGCAGCGTCCCTGGAGGCAGAGGCTGCCGGGGACGAGAGCCGCCCGGGCGCTGCGGGGCTGCCCTGCCCGCTGGCCATGTGGGAGCTGGGCCACTGCGACCCCCGGCGCTGCACCGGCCGCAAACTGGCCCGCCTGGGCCTGGTGCGCTGCCTGCGCCTGGGCCACCGGTTTGGTGGTCTGGTGCTCAGCCCCGTGGGGGCCCAGTACGTGTCCCCCGCAGACAGGTAGGCGCGGGAGGCCCGGGGGTGGCGGGCGGGGAGTGAGCGCTTCCTCTGGGGCTTTGGCGGGTAACCTACCTGGACTGTCTCGTCTTAAGTCACCCGTCTCTAGCGCATCGTCCCTGACAGGGCCCATTGATTTGTACTTGTTTATCGTACCCGTCCCCCCAAGACTGTGGTCCACGTGGGCTGGGAACATACCTGTCCAATTTTCCCCCAGTGCCTATGGTAGAGCCTTAGGCTGTAGGACAGTGTTAACAGATGTTTGTTGAGTGGATAATCGAGTATGCCTTAAAAACTGGGACCTTGGAGGGGCATGTTGTGGGGTTGGGAAATGATGTCCTTGTATTCATAATAAGGCTAGTTTCCAAGGACATACGTTCCCCGCGGTCAGCACTAGGGATAGCCCCGCACTATCCCTGGCAGACAGCTGGTGGCCCAGTCAGGGGTAGCTGTCATCGACTGCTCCTGGGCCAGACTGGATGAGACGCCGTTTGGCAAGATGCGGGGGAGTCACCTGCGGCTGCTGCCCTACTTGGTGGCTGCCAACCCTGTGAACTACGGCCGGCCCTGCAAGCTGTCCTGTGTGGAGGCCTTTGCGGCCACCTTCTGCATCTTGGGTGAGTGTCTTGCCTTGGCCAGCCTCAGTCCCAGGAGGAAGGAGGCAAGCAGGGACACAGTGAGGGGGCTGAGACTGGCAGACCAGGGTTTCAGTCCCAGCTTCCCCTTAGAACCCTGACCTCAGCGACAGCTGGCCTGGCAAGCACTCGGGTGACTGTGGTAGCGTGGCTGGGAGTTCCCCTCGCCCCTGACTTGTCCACAGAGACTTTGAGGCCCAGAAGGGGGACCTCCCAGGGCAGTCTTGGGGGGAACACGTGTGGTTCCTCAGGAAAGGAGCAGGACTCAGTGGGCTTCAGTGCGGGGACAGGGACATGTGGCAGGGGCTGGTGAGCAGATCAGGCTGTCTGCAGTGTGATCAGGTGTTGGGAGAAGACCTCTCAGTTCCCCAGGATGGCACTGAGGGTGATCTGGACCCACTCAGGAGAGGGACAGGGGGCATCACGGGGTCTCCTGTGTTCTGCACTGCCAGGCTTTTCCGACCTTGCTGTCATTTTGCTGCGGAAGTTTAAGTGGGGCAAGGGCTTCCTGGACCTGAACCGCCAGCTCCTGGACAGGTATGCGGCCTGCAGCGGCCCAGAGGAGGTGCTCCAGGCCGAGAAGGAGTTCCTGGCCAGTGCCAAGGAGAGCCCCGAGGAGGAGATGGGTGAGCCCTGGCACCTGCAGGAGCCCCCAGGGTGGAAGCGGGGACCCTGCAGGCCTGTGTCCTCCTCTGAGACGGGGTGGGTCGGAGAGCTCACTGCTCTCCGTTTTCTCCCTTGGCTCAGATCCCTTTGACGTGGATTCAGGGCGGGAGTTTGCAAACCCCAATAGGCCCCAGGGCGGCACCTGGTAAGTCCTTGGGCTTCCCAGTTCCGAGGGAGTTCAGACCCAGGCCTGTGGCCGCTGCCCTGCCTGCGGTGTGGGGGCGGGGCCCTGACCACCACAGGGGTGGGTTTTGACTCTGAAAAGGAAAGTGGAAGGTCCCTGGAGCAGGCGGGGAGCGGGCCTGGGGGAAGGGAGCTGGTCTGCATCTTGTGAACCTGTGCTCTGGGGGTGAGTTCACCAGGGAGGCCTGCCTGAGGCTGGCTAGGGTGATACACTGTTCTCTTCCAGGCTGTCCCCAGACAGCGGTGACAGTGACGAGGATGAGCCTGAGGAGCGGGGGCCTGCTGCTGAGGATGGAGCAGACAGCGGCAGCAGCAGCAGTTGCCCTGAGGAGGAGGAGGAGGAGCCGGGGAGGGGGGCCAAGGCTGGCACCCTGGAAAAGGTCTGGAAAGGAATCAGGAGGCGACAGAGAGACTGAGGGTGGCAGATGTGTATTTTGCACGGCTGGGTGAGAGGGACTCTGGAGGTGGCAGTGGGAAGTGGGGAGCAGGCAGGTCTGGCGGTCCCAGCCCTCGGTGGCCGTCAGTAGTACTGGACTCTGGTTCTCTGCCAATGCGCTGCCCAGCTCCTGGGTCCTGTCCTGGAGCGCCTCAATGAAGCTGGTAGTCAAGAAGGCTGTGAGTCTGTCTTTGCACTTGACCTGGAGCGCCCTGGGGGAAGGCAGGGGCTGGCTGTCAACCTCTGGCTAGGCAGACCCTGCCTGGAACGGGGTGCTAGTGTGGGCAGACTCACTTCTGAGAGGGCAGGGAGCCCACCAGCCTCAGGTGACGCCCTTGCCTCTCAGCGACCCCAGGGAACCTCTCCTGGGCCTGGGAGCGGGTGGGGAGAACTCCGTAGCCCTTAGCAAACCTCCCCTACCCGCTGCGGGGTGAGGGATGTGCTGCCTTCTCTTGTCTCCACCTGGAGTCCTGCAGCTGCTTCCCACCCTCAGCCCCCAGGCCTGCTGCCTCTCACCCTGCCCTGGAGCTTCCTCTAAGACGGGACTCTCCACTGTGGCACTGGTGATGGGTCATTGTTGGGGGGAATATCTGGTTTAACACATGACACTGAGCTGTGTCCCTGGCCTCCACCACGAGTGCCAGTGGCTCCCCAACCACCAATGTGAGGACCAGAAATGTCCCCTGGGGGGCACAGCTGACCGTTTAGAGCCCCCACCCTAAGAGAAGCACCCGCCCACCCCTCTCTGGCTGATGTTGGGCAGCAAGTCGGGGGATGCTCACCTGGCAGCCTGGCCCCCTCTCTGCCCCAGGGCAGCCACTGGTTGTTGGCACCATGGAGTCTGCGTCCAGATTGAGGTGGGGGTAGGTCTCACAGGGGTGTAGGGGTTCACACCTACAGGACACACCACACCAACATGCCCAGGGCGGAGGGAAGCCACAGCACACACACACCAGGCAGCAGGGGAGGGGACACCATGGGCCCTGGCTGCACAAAGATCACGGGAGAGGCGACACGGGGAGGGGGTAGTGTCCCAGCTGGGGTTCTGCTGTTGCAGCGGCGGGAGGGACTCAGGCGTCCCCCTCCATGCACTTCTCCAGCTCCCGGAGCCTCTTGACAAAGTCCTGCGCCTCCTTGTTGGCTCGGCCCTCCAGCATCCGCAGAGCGGACCTCACTGCGGGGGGCGGGAGGGGAAGCTGGATCAGGCCCACCTCCCTGGCCCCACTGGCGGCCCCCCTCCCCGCCCGCACCGGCGCTCACCCTGGGCCTTGGGCTGGCGCAGGTGCAGGGTGATAGGCTGCCCCGCGCGCGCGCCCCCTCCTGCCTGGGGCCGGGCCACGCCGCAGACACCACCCAGGCTGAGGGCCGCCTCGCCCGCGAAGTCGTTGGTGGACAGCCAGTCGTGGTCCATGACGGTGAACAGCACACAGGCGGCATGGCGGCGGCACGCCTCGGCCGGCACGGAGCTGCAGGGCACACGGTGCACACGGGTCGCCTCGAGCCCGCCGGTGGCCGTGCGTGTGGGCCCCGGGCGGCCAGGCACTCACAAGTGGAAGAGCTCGTCGTACACCGGGTGCAGGGTCCGTGCCTTGACCTGGGTCCTCTGGCTGCGGACCAGCGGGAAGAGGTGTGGCGGGCACAGCTCCACGATCACAAACGGGTCGCTCAGGCCTGGGGGCGAGAGGGGCGGGCGGCTGAGTCGGCCCCGCCCCGTGCCTCCGCGCCCCGCCCGTGCCGTCTAGCTCCGCCCCCGCCCGGCCTTCACCGTTGGCGTCCAACGGGAGCAGGTCGGCGGCGTGCAGCACCTCCACCGCCAGCCGCTGCTCAGCCGCCTCGTAGTAGCAGCGGACGCTCAGGCGCCCGAACCTGTTCTTCTCCATGGGTCTCTGCAGAAAGGGCAGAAAGCGGAGCTCGGGGCTCTCGGGACGGGGACTCCCGGGGGCAGGGCCGCATGAGCACACCTGGGCGGCCTTACGTGCTTGAGCTTGTCCAGGTAGAATTGTTCGATGCACTCGCGGGTTGAGCATTTGTGCAGACGCAGCTCCTCCTCCAGCCTCTGCGGGGGGCGGGAGGGGGGGAGGCAAGTGGGTGCGCTGGGGGACACCGGCTGTCGACTCGCCGCGGCAGCCCGTGGGGCCCGCGCGGTCACGGATCCCATTTCGTACAGGACATGGGCTAGAAGATGTCGCACAGCTGGTGCAAGGTACGCGGGTCCTCAGATGTCCGCGCGCCTGATTCCCACGCCTGGGCTCACCTTGTAGCTTCCATCCCTCAGGCTCTCCAGGGGCAGACCCTGGCCCTCGGCGTGGAAGAAGTTCACCAGTGCCTGGGCGGGATAGAAGGGGGAACAAGGTCATGGGCACGGCGTGTGCTGGGGCAGGGGGAAGGACCAGGTGGAGACCTCCAGTTGCTGGGAGCCTCGGGCAGTACTGAGCGTCTTGGGAGCCCAGGAGGGGCTGGGTCTCACACCTCAGGCTCCTCAGAATCCCCCAGGAAGCTTGGGAAAAGGCCGGCGACTGGGCCAGACACCTGTCTTAGCAGATGGCCCAGGTGCTGCTGATGCAGGTGGGCTGTGGAAGAAGTGGTGCGGGCAGGGGGCCGCGTGAGCTGAGGGAGCGGCATGAGGGCCTTGTCCCTGGACGCCAGCTGGGAGCCCGCCCTGGGCAGGGTGGGGGCCCTACCTCCAGCGCGAAGTGGAAGCGGCCATAGAAGTCAGCGGAGACGTCGCGGTTGGCGCCCAGCGCCTGCAGAATGGCCTGCAGTAGCAGCTCCCAGAGGGCTTCCAGCACCCTGCAAGGACCCGGCGTCCATGATCGCCCCGGGCGCTCCAGGCCACACTCCTTCCACCTACCCCTGTTCCGGGCGTACCTGTCTAGGTTCTCCTTCACCAGCGAGGCGTTCAGCAGGGCCAGCTTCTCGTCCAGGTACTTCATAAGCGGGGCCACGGCCTGCGGGCGGGCTGCTCAGGGCCGGCCCCACTCGGCCCCCAACACCCACCCGCGCCCGGGCCCGGCCGCACCTCGTCGTTCTGAATGGAGTCGGGCGACAGGCTGACGTGCTGCACGTATTTCCGGATGTCGCCCACCATCTGGGGAAAGGGGGCGCTCAGCAACGCCGCGGGGACACGCCCCTAGCCCCGCCCCGGGCCCCGCCCACCTTGGACGTCAGGTGCGCCGTCACGGTGCGGGCTTCGCGCTGCAGGTCCTCGTCCAGCGCCTGCGTGCAGCTGAGCAGGGGCCGCGGGAGCTCCCCCTCAGGCCCTCCGGCGCCCTCTGGCCACGCCAGGCCCCTCAGCGCCTGCCCGGCAGCCTTGCGCACCAGCTCCACGTCGTTGAGGACCGCGCAGAGCTGGGGCGAGGCATAGAGAATGGGCCGGGGGCGTGGAGGCCCCGCCAGCCGAGACACTGCCCCCGCCCACTCACCGGCTCGCTCACGGCCTCGCCCGCGGCGCCCGGCTGCGCGTCCACCTTTTTCCGCAGCAGCTCCGTGTAGAAGAGGGTGGCCTCGCACATGTCCTGGGGGGACACGAGGCTGGGTGCTGCGGTCGCCCTGGCCCTGCCGCCCCCTGCACCTTGCCCCTCCCAGCCCGCGTCCCCCGCAGACGCACCTGGCCAAGCTGCATGCCCAGCCCCTGGGCCTGGGTGGGGTCCGGCCACGCCAGGCGCACCCAGAGCTCCTGGATGAGGCTGAAGCACAGTCCCGCGGCGGCCGCGGAGCCGCTGTGCTTGGAGGAGGCGTCCACCGGCTCTAGCTGGAGAGCAGAGGGACCGGGGTTGCTGACGCACCCAGATGAGCCCCAGCCCCTCGGCCCGGCGGGCGCCCACTCACCGTGTCCACGTCGATGGCGCTCTGCAGCCGCCACCTGGTCTGGTCCCGCAGTGCCTGCAGCCAGAGCTTCATGGCGGGCAGGAAGGGCACGTGGATGCCCGCCAGGGCCAGCGAGCGACCGTCCCTGCGGGGGAGGCGGTCAGAGCTCGCGGGACTGGCACCTGGGGCCAGCTGGCGTCCTGGTTCAGGGCCTAAGGGTGGGGGGGGGGCTGCCCAAGGAGCCGCCTGTGACAGCTGTCGGGTGGAGGGAGGGCACCCACCGGCCAGGGACGCTGCTCCAGAAACGCTGGATGTCTGCCAGGGTCAGGTAGAGCTCGAAGAGCCCCGAGGCCATCTCCAGCGTCATCTTGGGGCTCAGCTCCTTCAACAGCACCCACGCCTCCTCGGCCACCTGCTTGGGACGGCGGGGTCAGGCGCCGGCAATGGGGAAACCCGGCCCCCTTCGCACCCAGGGACTGCCTCCTGCTCCCCTACGCCCAGCAGGTCCCCGGGGTCGGGTCCCTCCTCACCAGACACTCCAGCTGATGGAAGGTGAGGGTGAAGAAGTCGACCTTCAGGATGCTGCAAAGGACCTGCCTCAGCCAAGTGCCCTCCAGCCGGCCACACTGCCCAACCCCGCACCCGGCCCCTGCCCGGCGACGGCACTCGGGCTGGGCACCCACCTGTGGAAGAGGCTGGCGTAGATGCCGTAGCCGGCCTGCAAGTCCTCGTAGACGGCGTCGGCCAGCTCGATGAGCCCCGGGAGGCGCTGCGGTGCGGGCTGCAAGGGAGGCCGGCTCGTACCCACCTCGCTCCCGCCGGACTTGCCCTCACTCGCCGCCGCCAGCCCACCCCGCGCCGTGCCGCACCTGCTCGCGGGGGCACTTGGAGTTCAGGAGCCTGTCGTACCACTCGCGGTTGCCTCTCTGCAACAGAAGCCACCGGGTCAGCAGGGTAGGCAGAGGGAAAGGGGCGAGCGGGCGGGACGCCGGGGCCAACGGGGGTAGGACAGTCGGGACGTCGCGGCGCGCGGCCAGTGGGGGCGTGGCGCCGTGGGGGCGGGGCCAACCGGTAGGACGGTCGTGGGGGCGTGGCCAGTGGGGCGCAGCCAACGGGGTAGGAGGGGCGGGACGTCGTGGGGCGGGGCCAGTGGGCGGGGCCCAGCCGGCTGGGGCGTCGTGGGGCGGGACAGGCGGGAGCAATTTGTCCAGCGCCCCGCAGCCCGCATACCTTCAGGGCCGCAGTGACGTCCATGTTCAGCTCGGTCTCGAAGGGACAGATCTCAAAGGAAGGCTGGAACAGCTGGAGCTTGACGAGACACCTGGACGGGGCCGCCCGCTGACTGGTGGCCGCCCCCGCGCCCTCCCGCCCGCCAGTCCCACCGTCCACGCAGTAGCACCCACTTGAGCAGCAGCTCCAGGCGGTAGACGGCCGTGCTGTTGGTAGCAGGGAAGTAGTCTCGGAGCTGGCGCAGCAGCTGGAGCCCGAACTCGGAGAAGGCTGAGAAGCTGTCGGCCAGGCCCTCCTCCTGGGGGGCAGGGCCTTGCAGAGCTGAAGACCCACTGCTGCAGCCCCACCGGCGGCCCCGCTGTCTCCCACAAACACCTTCCCTGTCCACGGTGTGACCATACCGGTCCTGGCAGGGCTCTGCTCTGAGGAATACCCCTGCCACTCCCCAGACTGCCTCCTACCCGATGCGGCCTCACCTGCCAGCCTCTCTGGTTTCAGCCTTCCTAAGTCCCTCTCATGCCCAAACATGCCCCAGGGCCTTTGCACAGGTTGTTCCCCCTGGAACCTGCTGTTCCCTCTGCCTTTGCTGCCTTGTCCAGGCCTGCGGGTGCCCACTCCCTCTTGTTCAGACCTCAGACCAAGCATGGCAGCCTTCCCCTGCAGCCCCCTCCTGGTCAAACCAACCCACCTCCTGGCTCTGCTGTCCAAGTCATGCAGTTTGTCCATCCGCCCCTGCCCCCAGCAGGCCTCAGTCCCAGCGCCGAGCAGCCCACGCCCACCTGTTCCTGCCGCAGCGAAGCAGCCTCCTCCCAGTGCGCCTGCATGTCCTCCAGCAGCCCCAGCAGGTAGCCGTAGTCCAGGGAATGGGTCTGATGGTGCCGGCTGCTGACCTGCCAGTGCCTGTGGGGCCCGGCCTGGTCAGGGCGGCATCCAGCCCACCCCGCCGCCCCACACCCCAAACCCCCACTCACAGCACAGCTAGCTGCAGGGGTGACAGGTTGCTCTGGGCACCGTGCAGAGAGAGGATGGTGGCCGCCGGCCCGCTGAGCTCACCGCACCAGCTGCTCGCGTCCGGCTGGGGAAGGAGGGTGGGTGTGAATGGGCGTGGGAGCCCGCTGCCCGTGCCTGCTGCCTGGGATCAGCACGAGGGATCCCCAGGGCGGCCTCTACCTCCTCGGCCCGGTGTTCGAACTGCAGCAGGCTGCCGAGCAGCAGCTGGTAGGATCGGAAGCCAGAGCTGCCGCGCCGGCTCATGCTTGTATCCCTCTGCAAGGCAGGGGCTGCTGTCACCGGCCCTGCTGAGGCCCCCACGGGCGAGGACATCAGCAGGGCAGGCCTGACGTGAGCCCACCTGTGTAGTGATCAGTTTGAGGACCAGGTGGCACTCGCCCTGCACACGGGAGGCGCTAGAGCGTGGCTCCAGCTTGAACCAGCGGTCCTCACCAGCCACGGGCACCTCCTGTGGGGACAAGGTAGGATCAGGCCCACACCCTCCTGCATTCCCTCCTCCTCCCTCTCATGCAGACTCAGGCTTCCTGTGGGTGCAGTGATATGCAGGACCCCGGAGGCTGCCCCTCCCACCTGACCCATCCGCAGGGGCCAGGCCCCACTGCGTAGCCCCACGCGGCAGGGGCGGGACACAGCCTTGAGGGAAGCTGGGGCTCACGAATGCGCAGCAGCTGTGGTAGCAGACACTCCCGCCTACCCACTCACACGGATGGGTATGTTGAGGCACCCCAGGAAGTCATCAGAGTGGTCCTCAGTGGGTCCCGACGCCCCGTTCGCCCGGGCTGACTTGACAATCTGTTTAAAATACCTGGAAAGGGGGGGACATCGTGCCAGGGGTCCCCAGAGAGCCAAGCTGCAGGTGTGGGGTCCGGGGCGCACGGACAGGGCTGCCCAGGGGCTCCCAAGCTGGGTCCCGCATCCCCCTACCTGCCCATGCCCTTCAGGCCCATGACCTCATTCAGCTTTCTGCAGGCTTCCACCAGGGACACATCATCATCGTGGTCCCTGCGGGTGGCAGGGGACCTGGCTTACCTGAAGTCCCCAGCCTGGCCCCGAGGGCCCCCTTTTGTCCCCCTGACCAGAGGTGCCCACTCCCTGTGCCCTGCAGGGCCCATACCAGATGTCCAGGTGCAGCTGGTCAGTGCTGACGTCCTCAATCTCACTGCCAAGGACAGGGAAGCCATGAGGCTCCCGGGCAGCCTCTGCCCAAGGCTGGCATGGGGGGTGGGGCAGGGAGGTAAGGGGACACACGCTGGGAGTTTGGAGACAGGGTGCCTGAGTTCGAATCCCAACCCTGCCACTTATTACCAGCTGTGTGGCCACGGGCTGCAGCACCCCCTTCTGACCCTCAGTTCCCTCCTCTGGAAAGTCGGGATGTGAGCAACCCCGGCCTAGGAGTCCCCTGGGTCAGGCAGTGAATTGTCACCCTCCCATCCCAGCCACCATGAGCCCCGGGACTGCATGGCCCCCGAGCTGTGCAGGGGGCCTCACAAGAGGAAGTGTTCCTTCCAGACGGGGTTCAGGGTGCTGCTCTTGACTTCGGTGACCTGGATGCACTTGGCTGGCAGCGGATCCCTAGTGCCCCCGCCACGCCTGCTGCCCTTGCGGAAACCGAAGCGCTGCTCCTTCTCAGGGGGCTCCTTCGAGGCACCCGAGGCCGGCAGGATGCCCAGCATGCAATAGGGGTCGCTGAAGCCTGAGGGTGCGGCGGGTGACCCGGGTCACCTGGCCGCCGCACCCACACCACACGCCCTGGCCCGGCTGCCCGGTGCCCACTCACCGTTGGGGTCCTTGGCCAGCAGGTTCTTGGCCCGCATGACAGACACTTTGAGGGCGTAGGCAGGGGCCTGCAGGCGGGGGACCATGAGCACGGAGCGGGTGGAGCCTCCCCAGGACCCCCGCCTGTCCCCCCTACGCACCGCGGGGCTCACCTTGGCCTTCCTCACGCGCTCCACGGCCTCCGCGTGCTCCTCGGGGCTGGTGCTGAACACCTGGGAGGCAGGTGCGAGGGCTGCTGAGCCCCGCAAGGAGGCCTGGTCGCACTCCTCACGGGGTGGAGACATAGGCGGGATGGTGGCGACCCCACCGACTTCACGCAGAGCGGAGCGCGCAAGCCCTCAGCCTCGCGCGTGCGCTGTGCAGGCGGCGGGGGGCGTGTGTGTGCACCTGCGGGCTTGGAGGTGGGGCTGAGTTGGGGGCGGGGACGGGCTGAGAGGGGCGGGGCTGGGCTCACCTGGCTGAGGTAGGCCAGCAGAGCGTCCTCGTCGTCCACCCGGTCAGGGCCCATGGTCCCCGCGCGGTGGAGGACTGTGTACAAGGCCTCCTCGTAGAGCGTCTCCACCTGGGGGGGGTGCGGTGCTGAGTCCGCAGCCGCGCCCACCCCTCAGCCCCAGGCCCGGAGCCCCCACAAGGGGCGCCGGGAAAGCGGGGCGCAGCCCCAGCCCTGGGTGGCCCGTTACCTCTTCCGGGCTCAGGGGCCTCAGGCCGCGGTTGGGGTCCACGGGCTCGGCGGGGGCCGGCGATCCGCTGCGCAGGAGGACCTGCGGGGAGCGCGCAGGTGGGCGGTGGCGGCGGGGGCGGGGTAGGGGATGCGGGGGGGCGGGGCCGTGGGGCTCACCTCGCGGCGCGGCAGGCGCTGGCGGCCCTCACCCTTCTTCAGCACCAGACGCATCTGCGCGAAGAACTCCACGCCGTCCCCAGGCTTCCTGCGGGATGGCCGCCGGGTCCGTGGGGGGACAGCCCCGGAGGCGGCGTGAGGTCCACAGCGCCGCTGCCGCGGCCTGCCATCAGACCCTGGCGCCCTCCCCCCTGGGCGGGCCCAGGTCAACCGGGCAGGGAGGACACCCACCAGGCCTCCTGAGAGGGCGCCGGGGCTTCGGCGCTGGAGCTGCCCGCCTCCTCCTCGGTCCTGCGCCGGAAGGACGGGCACGCCTGCACCTGCCTGAGCACGCTGCTCTTGAGGTCCAGTAGGGTCGACATGGCCGGCCTGCGGGCAGGGGGACCAAGGGGCCAGGGGGCAGGGGCGTTCCCTCGCTCACTCGTTCATTCATTCTTTCGCTCCCGCTTTCATTCACACAACCATTCATTCATTGATTCACTCATCCATTCATTAGCTGCCTCCCTTCCTCCCTCCCTCACTCAGCTTTTCCCGCAGGGTGTCTGGCAATCATAGACCACCTGCGACAAAGCAGTTAAGAAAGAACCGCCCTCCCCGACCTCAAGCAGCAGAAACCAGTGGTGGTAAGGCGGCGACCACTATTCTCCCAAGACTAATCAACACCACTGTCCTGACCGCAGGAACAGAGCCCCGCAGAGGAGGAAGAGGTCACACTGCCCGAGGTTACAGAAGGAGCAAGGGCCCCTCTGGGGCTGGTGGCCGGCCAAGGGCACCTGTGTCATCTGGGACCATGGAAGGCAGGGGGCCTGGGGACAGGCCAAGTTGTGGGGAGCCCCCACTGTGCCCCTGGGGTCCCAGGACAGGGAGACAGGAAGTACCTGTCCCCCCACCCACACTGTCTCCTAGGGCTTCGCTGAGGATCAGGGATATTGGGGGGCAGTGCCCAACTCACCAGGTCCCCATAGTCACCCCCCAGAACCCCAGACTCCCTATATTCATTGGTCCTCACAGCCACGCCCCAGAACCCCAGGCCTCCTGTATCCACTGGGTCCCCATGGTCACCTCCCAGAACCCCAGGCTCCCCGGTATCCACCAGTCCCCACGCCCACCCTCCAGAATCCCAGCACCCCCATATCCACTGGGTCCCCAGGATCGCAGAACTCCTGCATCCACAGGACAGTGCAGGTGAGACAAGCCACAGTGGGAGCAGGTCGTGGTGCCGGCAGAGGAGCCCCCGCTGCAGGCCTCTGAGCCCAGGAGCCTCGCCCACAAGCCCTGGCGGGTTGCTGCTCACAGGACAGGACGCACAGCAGGGTCGCTGGGGGCCTCACTCACTCAAGTGCAGTCTGTGTCCACACCCTATCTCAGCCCTATGGGTCGGTCAGCAAACCCCCAGGAGGGCAGTGGTAGCCAGGGAGGGTATTGTCCCCCAAGTAGAGCTGCTCCCCACAACCACTAGGCAGTGACATGAGAACTTGGGGCGAGTGGTGCCCCAACTGGAAACTGCTGGGGGAGGTGCCATGCTTCTGATCTCAAAGCTGTTCCTCCTGCTGCTGCCACGGCGACCGGGTTGGTACGCAGCACCTTCTTGGACCAGAAGGAGACACTGGTCTGCGAGGATGCTAGCCCAGCAGCCCCCTGCCCAGGTGCCCGTGGGACAGTCCCAGCCCGGGAGGGGCTGGAGCCAGTGAGCCCAGCAACCAGCAACCCTGACCAACTGCACCCTTTCCAAGGAGGAAGATTCCGTCCTGTCCTGGCACAAGAGCCTGTCTCCGAGCCGGCCCCACACCCTGCCTGTCAGGGGGAAGGCTCAGCAACTTGTCACCACCTGCACGTCTCCCTGGGGGGAGGGTGTCCCTGGGGGGAGGGTCTCCCTGGGAGGCTCTGTCTCCTGCAGACCCCAGGAGGAAGGGCCTGGCAACCTCAAAGCTGCCGTGGCTTCCCCTCCCCACTGCACAGCCTGGGCCCTGCCTCTCTCTTGGATGCAGCAACCTCTGGCCCTGGCTTCCTCCCTTCGACTCCAGTGGTCCTCTTGCTCCCCTGCTGAATTTGTCAGGGCAAAGTGCAGACCCCAGCCAGGCCACCTCTGCCACCTGGTGTCCACCACATGGCCCCAGTACTCTGCCCCAGCCTGGCTGGCCTTTGGTGCAAAGGACATGCTTCCTCTGCTCACCACAGGACCTTTGCACAAGCTGTCTGAATCCCCTCTTCCTAATGCTCACTTGCCCGCTTGTTGAGGGTGCCTTGCGCTGTACATCAGCCCCAGCAGGCAGGCACTGTGGTTTTCACTGCACAAAACAGGGCACAGAGACCCAGCCCCAGGATTGTGGAGGTAGTCAGCAGTGGAGGTTACAACTGTCTCCGGGGCTCCTCGTAACCACTTGAATGTGAGCTCAGGTCAGTTCCTGGGTTGAGCTGCCCCTTGGTGGTCTCAGCGCGTTTATGAAAGTCTGATTTAACATCCACCTGCCTCCTCACTAGAGAGCTGGGCCCAGGGTACGCCTGGTACTTTGAGGACCCTCAATAAATGTTTGAGTAAGTGGACTCCCTGCTCCCAGCTGTGTCTTTCTCTCAGTGGCCCAGGGGCCCTGGGGTGTCACCTAGCTGGCACAGAGACCTGGGACAGGAAGAAGGTCGAGTGGCTCTTCGCCTCCCAGGGGCGTGGCTGGAGGGGCCAGAATGAGGTCCACCTGCTTCAGTCTACCAGCGCCTCCTCCCGTGAGCCTCCCCAAAGATGGGGTGATCAGCAGGCTGGGCTCGAAGCTTCTGGAAGCCTCCGCCCCCACAGCCAGCCCTGCAGCCCCAAGGGGCCGGCGTCACAGGCCCCCCCCCTTCCCCTCTCTGCTGAGCGGGAGAGGCTGCTCCCCCCGCAGCCCCCCAAAGCCAGTGGAGCAGCTGCTGCCTGAGTTGTTGCCAGGGCAACTGCCAGCCGCGTCTGCATGTGACAGGGGCTACAGGGGGCTCGCGGCCCAGTGACGACTGTGACGCAGGAGCAAAGTGTCCTGAGCCGCAGTGACACGGAGGGGCGTCTTTGTGCCAATGAAAGGTCTGAAGGCAGAAAGGGGAAGCATACATCCCCCCTGCGGTTTCCACCTGTGATCCCACCTGGTGGTCCCCCTCAGCCCGGCCCAAGAGACGGAGGGGCGCTGCCCTGGGCGCTGGTCTCATATGAGGAAACTGAGGCTTAGGGACTTGTCAAGGTGGGAAACAGCAAGAGACAGACCTGGGCCTCAGCTCCTGGGCTGTCCGGAGCCCTGGGCTCCAGGCTGGCTGGCCGCCCTGATGCTGGCTGCAGCTAGCCCCACCTGTCGAGCAGCCCCTCCCTGCCTGTCCCTCAGCCCGTTGCCAGGACCCAGGCAAGCGCGGCAGCTCCCCACAGGTGTCCGGAAGAGGTAGCTGGGGCTCACGCTGGAGGCCCAGAACCCCTTCAGTTCCCCTGGAAACCCCAGGGCCCGCGCAGCTGATCTTCCTGCTGCACCTGACGGCTACCTGCCGTGAGGCCTCTGACCGCGGCCTTGTCCGGGCTTCTCGCCCAGCTGTCCTCAGCGGTGGGCATGTGACTGTCCCCTGGGCTCTTTGTCTGTGACCCCTGTGTGGACGGCAGTTGAGGACAAGATGTCCGGCCACCAGCGGCGGGGGGTGGGGGTGGGGGCTAGGTGCCAAGCTGGCATCTGGGGCCTGGCTGTCCCCAGGCCTGGTTGACTGGGAAGCCACGCATCTGCGAAGCAGAGGCCACTGCCCCATTCACAGCCAGGGCAGGATTCGAATCCAGGTTCTCAGGCAGAGCCATCTTCTGCCAGCCCAGCTCGGGGCTTAGGGAGTCTGGGGGCCGTGGGGCTCAGCGGGAAAGCCAGGTCCGTCTTCCTAAACAGTGTCTGCAGAGGGCTGGCCACCCTAGGGGGCCACGAGCCTCGGAGTGCCAGGGACCCCTTTGTGCCACCTTCTGGTCCCTGCCAGTTTGGGTTGGGGGTCTAGTGAGGCCACCCTGAGTGTGGGGAGCGCCGAGGTGTCCAGCCCTGTGCTGGCCCCCCCTGCCCCCTTCTCAGTCTTCTCTCTTGGCTTCAGCTGTGTCTCCTCTTCTGGCCCGGCTCCCCTCCCCCTGGCCCGCTGCACGTAGACAGCATGGACTTCAGCTGTCCTCTCTCCCAAGGGTCACTGATGGCCCAGACAATGCTCCCCTGCACCCAGGGGGTGGCAGTGCCCAAATGAAGGTCACCTGGTGTGCCTGCTCCCTGGGGCCCCATCCCACCCAATCCAGGGAGAAGGAACCTGCATTTTAAGCGGCGTCATGAGTAGACCTCCCTGAAGCCTGAGGCCAGCGGTAGAGGGCTAGCTAGATGCTTCTAGAATGGATGCAGGAGGAAATGAACACTCTGGGTACCTTCTCCCGAGTCCCCCTCTCACCTGTCTCTACTCACCTGTCTCCACCGCCATGATGCCCCTCCCTCCCGGACCCCACTTTCTAGGTGCTCCCGGGCTCCGGGTACACAGGGAGCCTGACCTCCCAGTTCTGTCGGGGTCCCTGCCCCTCCTTGGCGGGAATGGCGTCTGTGTGTGCGCGTGTGTGGAAGCCCATATAGTTGGTGTCTGCGTATTTTTAAGCTCCCCCACTCCCGGGAGCTCCCAGCGTTTGGGGGGTTTGGAGGGCTTGAAATTCCCTGTCGGCTGCGGGAGCGTGGCAGGGCTTGCAGTACCAGGGATTTCGGGGAGACGCAGGAGGAACTGTGGTCACCCAAGGGAGGGTGGGGGGATGGGGGCGCTGGGGCACCTTTTCCCTCTGTCTTGGGCGCCTGGCGCCGCAGTACGGCCTCTGGGGGTCCTCGGTCCGCTCCACTGAGGGCTCCGCTGGGCTGGGGGCGGGGTCTGCGCGGAGCGACGCGCTCTACCTCCGGCTCCCGCCCCATCCCAGGTGGGATGGCGACGGTCTCCTGGGTCCCGTGCGCCCCGCGGCAAGGAGGTCTGGTCCCCACCGCACCCCCGGCCCCCTCCCGGCTGTCCCCCGTCCGCAGTGCGGACCCCGCGCTTCTCCTGCGCGTTCCAAGGGGAGGATGGGGCTGCGAGCGGGGGGAGGATAGACACCCGGCGGCTCTCAGTTTCCCCGACCGGCGCGGGACGGCTAGCGCAGGCCTGGGGGTCTGGGGTCCGGGAGCGACGGCGGCCGGGAGGGGTCGGCGGCGTCCGGGACGGTGGTCGGGCGCAGACCCCGACCGTGGCACTCACCGTGGGCCGGGCTGAGCGCCTGCCTCTCCTGGGGTTCTGGGGAGCACGGAGGACACGGGGGGCGCGGGACGCGGGCTCCTGGGGCGCCGCGCTCGGGCAGCGGCTCCGCGGACGCCGAGGCACAGGTGTCCGCT